GCCATCTTGGCTGACAGTTAATTTGCATAAGGATATGCTGATTAGCCAATGGGAAGGGTAGCGGTCGTATGCTAATTACCATGTTTCTCTTTTATTAGTGTAGATAGGATAGAGGCCTGGTGCACGGGTGGGGGCCGGCTGGTTTGCCCTGAAGGATGTCCCGGATCAGGGTGGGGGTCCTGCTGGGGTGCCTGGCCAGCCTGGATGAGGGGCTGATGGCTGTTTGCAGCTGGTCACACTCCCTTCAGGGTGGGGGTCCCCACTGGGGTGCCTGGCCAGTCTGGGTGAGGGGCTGAGGGCCGTTTTCAGGCTGGCCTGCGACTGAAGCTCCCAGCCTCTCCTTTTTTATTTATTTATTTTTATTCTGGGATTTATTTACCTTCTATAATTGAAACTCTGTTGCCTTCACTGGCGCTCCCAGCTCTGCAGGTATCTGGGGTTTGTTTAGCTTCTATAATTGAAACTTTGTTGCTTTTGGAGCTGTTGCTTTCGGAGCTTAGAGCTGGGCCACGGCAGGCAGGGAACCTTGGCTTCCTCCATCACTGAAGCAAGCATACCTCCTGCTCCTTTCAGTTGCATGGCTGCCGGCCGCCATCTTTGTTGGCAGTTAATTTGCATATCTCGCTGATTAGCCAATGGGAAGCATAGCAGAGGTACGGTTAATTACCCTTTTTGTCTTTTATTAGATAGGATATATATATATGTGTGTGTATATATATAGAGAGAGCCAGGGTCCGTAACATCCAATACAACCGAATGGATGACCGAACACCAGAATTCAATCCTGCAGTCAGTGCTGGGTCACCCCGGTGACTAAGCACTGACTGCCACCACTGTGGGCATGGCTACCCAGCACTGACTGCCGAGTGGGCTGTGGATCAGGCCCGGAGAGAGAGGCAGGGTCTGATCCGCAGCCTCTGTGGCAGCTATTGATCAGCCCTTGCCTCTCTCTTTCTCTCTGGGCCTAGCCAGCAGCTGCGCCTCTCTTTTACTCTGGGCCTCGCCAGCAGCCATGTGGGCTGCTGATCAGCCCCCCTCTCTGATCAGGCCTGGAGATAGGCTCTGAGACACTGACTGGCATAGAAACCGACCAATCAGAACCAAGTATGGGTGAACTGTGAAGAGCCAATGGCTGCCTAGGAGACTGAGCTTTTGACGCTGACTGGCATAGAAACTGACCAGTCAGAACCAAATCTGAGTGAAGTGCGAGGAGCCAATGGCTGCCTAGGAGGCGGAGCTTTTGACACTGACTGGCATAGAAACCGACCAATAAGAACCAAGTATGGGTGAACTGTGAAGAGCCAATGGCTGCCTAGGAGACTGAGCTTTTGACGCTGACTGGCATAGAAACTGACCAGTCAGAACCAAATCTGAGTGAAGTGCGAGGAGCCAATGGCTGCCTAGGAGGCGGAGCTTTTGACACTGACTGGCATAGAAACCGACCAAT